AAAAAATGTGGCACTTTTCTACAAGCAAAAACCACAATAAACGAATGTTTATTAAAATTTGAATTTTGGCGATACTGACCTCAGACTCTTTGGCTATTTCACTATAAGCTACCTCAACTAGAAAAGCAAACAGCCCAGCCGCTTAGGCAATTAACAGGCTACAAAAATATAAACATACATAATTACACATGTACATACATATACAATATATGCATACATATATTTAATGAGATGTTGTTAATGACGGCTGGACATGAATCACACGTTTCTTATGCGCGCGTCTAGGCTGCTTGAGCAGATTAACGATTGTGATCTACATACGTACATATAAACATGTAAGGGCAGTGTTGTCTTCTGCTATGTTGAAGACTTTATGCCATTGATGAACATCAGATAATTTTACTTAAAAACAGGGTACGAAAATAAACTGTACAAAACAATTCCCATTTGCTCATCGATCATCATATCATTTGTGGTTTTGTACAGTTTTGTAAATAGTCAGAAACAAATTGTAAGATTCACTGTCATTTTCCCCAACGAGAAACGTTTGCTTTTCGTTTGTGACAATTGTACCATAGGATACGTTTTATATGTATGCAAACGTTTCAATTACGTGAAAAATAATTTTGTCTGTAAATTTTCATATCCAATTCAATTAAAGAACATTTTTATTTTTTTTATTCATTGCAGCCATTCGTTTTGTATTTGTTTATTGCATATATGTGCATACATAAATATATTTTCCCTGCACGATTCATTTCGTTTGTTGTTTCGTCTGTAACTACTAAACTACTGTAGTGTACTATCGCCAAAGTGAACTCAGCCGTTTTGTTTCGTATTGTACCGAACTGTTAAAGTAATAAACGAAACGAAATAGTAACGTACAATATAGTTTATTTTCGTACACTGCTTAAAAACCTATTACTGCATTTTCAATTGGTTGTTTGAGAGCTAAACAAAATATATATATTTTACCTACGCTACACACATTAATAAAGGAATTATATCGCAAATACTTATATCTGAACAATCAATGGCACAGGAGATATATCGCATAAAGTACCGATCTTGACGATTTTCTCAGAAAACTGTGTACGATTACGATTCGAAAATACATAGCTAACGAAATTGCTCGGTTTTAGCTGTCACAATGAACGAGTTTTAAAGTAAAACCCCATATCAGAAAAATCAGTATAGGTTATAGTGACCCAATTTTTGTCATTTCCACTTTAGGCTTTTTCTTAACAATGAGTGAAAATAGTGCGAAATTGCATATTCCTATCTGCATAAATGGAGGAGTTATAACAAAAAATTTCCTATCTGAACAATAAGTTTTGGCGGTTCCGACAAATGATTAATACATTATACAAATACACCCGCTTACCAAATTTGGGATATCTCGAACTGCGCGCCTAGATTGCGTTCAAACAGGCACTGTTTGCCTGTCAGAGAGACGGACGGCTAAATCGATATTTATTTAAAAATATCGAATATCGGTATTTAAAAATATCGAACCAAAGTTATAACACCATTTCATGACTATAAAAGATAAAAAAAGCAAGATGAGAGGAAAAGATGAGAGTGCGCCAGTTTCGAAGTACACTCTGCTTAACCCACGACTGATGGAGGCGCCTTACAACTGTTCTGTTGCATATATATTTGTAGAAAAACTTAACTTAGTTGGACTCAACATAAGAATAACCCAAGATTCTTTATGTCACCCGGTCTAAGAAAAACATTGTCGCTTCATAGTAATTCCATAATTGGTTTTCTTGTTGCAGTTCAATCAGCCGCGTGGCAGCTTTCCAAAGGTGGGAGGAGAGATTTATTTGCCTTAAATACCTTGGGGATCCGTAAGAGCTCTTTTATGCTTTCACTTGCACAGTCCTTCAAACCTTGGGGTATTGCCGCTGCCCTCGCAGTTTGCATAGTTGTAGTTACTATGTAATGATTCTGTTGAGTTTGGGCAACATAAAGCGAACTAAAGATTTGATCAAAAGTCGTCTGCTATACGCTCTGAGTCCGGAGATTTCTAGCACTCCTTGCCTTTGTTGAAAGCCGGCCAAGTCATTGATAAAACTTTCGAAACTGTGTGTGAAATTTTCCTGGTAGGACCAAGGTTCGA